CTCCTCCAAGACATGATTATATACAGACATCATTCTTCTTTCATATTCACTATCAGCATGGGCTGTTCCAGTAGATCCATATTCCTGGAAACTGAAGTAAAGGTCAATATTCATTAATCCATCAAAATAGCATGGCTATTTAATACCTACATGTATCAGGTACTTTCAAATATTTTCATTTAATTTTTAAAATCATGAAGTTATTTCCATTTATAGGTGAGAAAATTGAGGCTAGGAGAGGGTAAGTAGTTTGCCTACAGTCATACAGCTAGTAAATGGCAAACCAGAATTCAAACTCAGGTCTGACTTCAAGTTATGTAATTCTTAATCTCTTTGGTTGCCAGGAAATATGACAGTGTTTTACTGCCGTAGGTGAAAGAGACATAAAGACATCTGAAAAGGGGACTATCAATAAAGCCAGCAGATAGGTGCCAAACTATCAATAAAGATATATAATAACAGGTTAGATACATAAATAACAGGTTAGAACATGGAGGAATGTCACAGAAGAAAATAGTCTTGAACATATCAGTAGGTGAGTAAGACAGGTAAACTCTGGAGAGATGGAAAGTACAGGACATTCATGGCTAGAGATATGGCATGAATCTAAAGCATGGAGATGAAACGCACAGGCATGTTCAGAAGACAGTTTGTATACACAGCATGGCGGAATAAGTTTAACCTAGATTTCTTCCTTTTTCTTCTACTGCTTCGAACCCCTGCAAATTTCTGAAAATATTTCTAAGTGAAAAAAGGCATTTCTAACTAAACTTTTAAAAATACAATGTAGGTAATTTAAATATGCTGGGCATAACACTACTCTTATTATTCCCTACTATCATTTTAATGCCTACTATGTAGAAGGCATTTCAGCCAGCTATTTTATATATATTAGTTCATTTAATCTTCACAACTACTCTGGGAAACAGGCCTCATTATCTACCTATAGTTTATGCATACATGACTCACTGGGATGATATACATTCACAGAGCTAGGAGTGACTGGTAAGGGATTCATGTTCACATTTGCTGGGCTCCAAAGCTCTGTTTCCTGCTCTTTACTATATCTTAAGTTCTATTAAGAACCGAAGCTCATTTGTATGATGGACTTTAAGGACAACTAAACTACATAAAAGACTTCCATTTTTTTGCTAACAAAACAATTCCATTTCTGGCGGTAGGCAACCGCAGATTTGCTTTTTGTCTCTGTAAATGAGATTTGTTTCCTAATAGTTCATATAAATAGAGCCATACAATACATACTCTTTTGTGTATGGTGTGGGGTAAGGAAGATTATTTTTTCCCTTTTATATATTTAGTTGTTCTAGCACAATCTGTTGAAAAGACTATTCTTTTCCCATACAATTATCTTGGCATCTTTGACAAAAATCAAGTGACTACGTGAGTATCTATTTCCGGACTCTCCGTCCTACCCTTAAGCCATCATCACACTGTCTTAATTACTGTAGTTTTATATTAAGTCTTGAAACCAGTAGTTAAGTCTTCCCACTTTAGTTTTTCTCATTTATTTTGCAATATGGTGAAGTACTTAAATTGATTTTCTAATGTTAACCCAACCTTGCATTCCTGGGATAAACCCTATTTAGTCTTAATGTATTATATTTACATATATTGTTGGACTGAACTTTTGTTAAAAATTTTTGTCTATGCTAATGAAGAGTATTTAAATTTGTCCTATTCATCTAAGCAAATTTCTTTGCACAAAGTTATTCTTTCCTTATTATGCTTTTAATATCTGTTAAGATTTGTATTGATGCCATCATTTTATTTCTACTATTAGTGATTATTTTTTCTTGCTCAGACTAGTTTTATCAATTTTATTAATCTTTTCAAAGAACCAGCTTCTGGTTTCACTGATTTTCTCTATTGGCTTCTTTCACAGCATGTTTTTGAGGGCACTCATGGTTTCTGTATGACTTGCTGAATGATCAACAGGTCATTCATCTTCATTACTAAGTAGCATTTCATTTGTGGATATACTACAATTTATTTACCCATTAGCCTACTGACAGACACTTGGATTTTTCCAGATTCGTTATTATGAATAAAAATGCTATGAACATTTGTGTATATGTCTGTGTGGAAACATGTTTTCCTTTCTCTTGGGTAAAATAGTAGGAGTAGAATTGGTGGTCATATAATAAATGTATGTTTAACTTTATATGACATTGTCAAACAGTTTTCCAAGTGGCTATATCATTTTGTATTCCCAACAACGTATTAGTATGAATTCAAGCTCCTCCACATCTTCACCAACGTAGGGTATTGAAGGTCTTTTTAATCTTAGCTGTTCTAGTGGGAGTGGTATCTCATTGTGATTTTAATTTCCCTAATGACTACTAATGTCAAGCACCTTTTCATGTGCCTATTGGGTATTCACATATTTTCTTTTTTGAAGTGTCCAAAACTCTTATCAGTTTTTTTTTTTTTGAGACAGAGTCTCGCTCTATCGCCCAGGCTGGAGTGCAGTGGCACAGTCTCGGCTCACTGCAAGCTCCACCTCCCGGGTTCACGCCATTCTCCTGTCTCAGCCTCCTGAGTAGCTGGGACTACAGGCGCCCGCCACCACGCCTGGCTAATTTTTTGTATTTTTAGTGGAGACAGAGTTTCACCGTGTTAGCCAGGATGGTCTCGATCTCCTGACCTCGTGATCTGCCTGCCTCGGCCTCCTAAAGTGCTGGGATTATAG